TATATATATATATATATATAAAGTATAACTTCAACTAATAGTAACACTTTATATTTTCTTGGTAACAGAGCTAAAAATAATAATATATGTATATGTTTGCACATGTATGCAAAAAATACAAACACTCACATACATACATATATTTAAATATATATTTTTTTCATTCAAACCTATTACCAAACTTTACGCCATTTAAATTCAGCCAACAACCCTGAAAATAATGAAAGAATAAAAAAAAAAATCTATAAAATAAAAATAAGCAAAATGAGTAACAGAGTTGATAATTTAGCTTTAATTTAGATATAACTCTAGTGCTAACTAGTTTAAAATTACATGTTGGTTTTTAGTTGTTGATCAACTTATATTACCCATGAATTAAAGAAAAATATTTGCTTGATACTTTTTTCTTAAAATAACTTATGTAACAGGGTTGAATGGATTGAGATTTACTTCCTGCTATGCTGTAGAAATGTCTTGAGTGTCTTAGGCATCACAGTTTTGCTTCAAATATGATGATTTTGAAATTTACACTCGAATTATAATGCAAAACCAAATCAAAGACGACCATAATCTGCAATTGCATACCATAATTTACAATTGCAAAAATCCAAACTTTAGTTTAAATTCTTTCCATTCAACACCTGTTTGCCAATTTCCAGTCCCTGCCTGACCCACAACCAGTTTTCCACGCTCTGAACCATTGAAAGCCATCACTAAAACCGCTCTCAGATCAGAAACAACCCCGTCAGAGAGTCAATCCAACCATCAGCCACCACAGAAATAACAACAGTGGTGTTTTTCTGCTGTATCTGCCCGATAGGGATCTCCGGCCCTCATATCTCCCTCCAGCACTCTTGACGCTGGAAACCCAATCTCGCCTCTGCATCCGTCTGTTTGCCGCAAACCAGGGATAGGGGAAAAAATCCATCATTCCCACCACATCCATCCCAGAGAGAGCATCATGTTCAGAGAGCTGGCTGAAACGGACACCACCAATTAGGAGCGGACAGAACACCCCGGCTGCCCTTTCTGCCCCTCTGCACTTGCACTTCTCGTCTCCCCGTCCCGCCAGCGCTGTGAGGAGAGGTGGCAGGGCGTCTGGGGAGCTGAGCTGGAGGTGAAGGAGGTGAATTTCCGAGGTCAAGCCGAGACACCGATACCCCCAATTAAAGAGGCGAAAGATCTCGCTCTGTCAAAGCAGTGCCGCGGGCACATCGATTCTCTGCTCAAGCGCGGCCGCAACTGAGGCACATTTAACTAGATCCTCGAACTACACGAATGAAGCATAGTCTAAAAAAATATTAAAATAAAATACATTTATTTTTAATTGTGTGTACTATATGCGTGTATATAATGTACAAAAACAAACAAAACAATAAAACATAAAATATCTTCCGAGTGATTATAAATGAAGCTCGTTCAAAAAAAAAAAACACACACACACAATATATTTATAATATATTATACATATCAATTATATATACACATACATATATATATATATATATATATATATATACACATATACATATATATATATATATATATATATATACGTGTGTGTGTGTAATTAAATATATTTACATTTTATTTTTACGTATTTTATGTAAAAATGTTTTTGTTGATTTGTTACATGTACAAAAGCCATAAATAAACAATAATAAAAAAAATATATCATTCTGACGGAATATGAAGCGTATTTAAACAAATCAAGTATATTAAATAATTACATTTAATAAGAATTAAAATTAATACAAAAATGTATTATGTATTCTTTTCAATTTTATGTGTGTGTGTGTGTGTGTGTGTGTTTAATATATAAATATTAATTCAAACAATAAATTAAGTAAATACATTTCTATATTTCATTTTTTTCTATTTAAATAAAACAATTTACATTTTTTTATTTTTCTAATTAATATAAAAAAATATATATATATATATAATTTATTAGAATATCTTCAGATTAATTATATCGGAATCATTTTTAAACAAGTAATGGATATTATACAAATAATACATGGATTAATTGATAAACTAAGAAAATCCCAAAATAAGAACTGCATTTTTATACTATGATCTAAATAAAGAGTAAAATAAACCATTTCAATATTTATTACATTAAAATGATTTATGTCATTTATTCAAATACATGAAATATATATAAAAGTTATTTAATGTCGTGCATTTAGGAAACAGCCTTAGAAAATAATCAAATGAAATGACATTTCCATCAAAAAAATCATACTAAACACATTACATATTCTCAGATGTGGAGGAAAGGTTAATTACTTTTAAGAAATGTTTTTTGTTGTTTGTTTTTGTCAATACTGAACAAATAAAATTGCATTAAGTGTGTAAAAAAATATGGTTTAAGAGAGTTTCTAAAGATGTCTGTAGTATCAAAACTGCCTCTCACTAAAAGTCTGAATATTAAGTACAGCGAACATACACTGTATGTGACTAGAATAGTAGCCATAGCCACAGTGAGGCATAACTCATATACTGGTTCCAGCTTTACTAGTTGTCTCAGTCCCGCAGTTCTCCTCAAGAGAAACTCAGATTGGTTCGTGTCAGTGCATTGATGCAGCAGCGCTGTGATGTTCACGCATGAGTTATTTATACTGCAGACAGCCAGGAATAGAACAGCCCTCCTTACCCAACCTCAATACTCACACGCAGCTGACATTTATAGAGACCAATCAAAGCCAGAGGACGTGTGAGGGGTGAACCTCATCACATTATACCTTCATACACTGCTACAATTTCACTACTCGCTTAGTTCCAGGGTTCGAACCAACAACTTTTCAATGAGGAGCCTGGATCTTCTTTAACCACTAAGCTACACCACCCTCTGAGTTACAGCATCAATCAAATCTATGTTCACTGATTTCAAACATCCAATATTCAATACATATTATGTCCATCATTTTCAAAATAGACAGATTTCAAAAACATGCAACAGTCTGCCATCTTGTGGCCACAAATGCGTGTGCATTTTTGGCAAACAAGATTGTGTATTTAAATATTAATCATCTTTTTTGTAATTACATTTTAATATAATATTATATTTTTTATATATTAAATAATAATTTTATAACAGTTTAATTAAAATTAATATTAAATGATTACAGCCTATAGAGTATGTGTCAATATTAAATAGTTGTAACATTCAGTAGAAATACATATTTAATAACAAACTAGTGCGAACAAAATCACAATTAAAACATTATAATAAAAAGTCAAATGAATATAAACTGATTATGACCAATAAATAGAATAAACATACTTTTTATTTTGCATTAGGCCTGTAACTTTTCCGTTTTACGTAGATTCAAATCACAAGTATTTTTCAAATGTAAATGTAAAAAAGACATGAATTATTATGCAGTATAATACAATGTAATCAATTACCTATTTTTTAAAATATGTATTAAGATACTTGTACTATTCAGTTGAATACTTGTGTACAAACCTAAGCAAAAGAAAAACTATTACAGTAATAGCAATATTTCTTTACATAGTTTTACATTTGTTTAAATGTAAATATGAATAGATTTTTATTTATACTGCATTACAATACAACAATTTATTTTTAATAATTAAAAGCAAATCTGTGCAAAAATGCACAGCAAGCATAATATTATAATAGCAGAATTAAAATAAATATTAAATGATTGACAAAATATTATTCTTCATTTTGTATAAGCTTTCTTTGTTTTATATTTTACACAATTATACTTCTTTTGCATCTCTTTCAGAATTAAACTAAAATGAGCTAAAATAGTGTGCAATTACAGTATTTTATAATAGTAAAAACAATATTAAATAAAAATAAATCAATAATAAATCATTTAACCATAAACAGCCTGATTTGCAAATTTAAGTGTAAAAAACGTACATATTACAAATTATAATACAATACAATTTATTTATTATTTGATTTGCTTATTTATATATTTGCTTATTATACTAAAAATGAAATCATTTTAATATTCCATTGAAATGTTTACATGTTTAAAAGCAAATCTGTAAGAAATATTCAAAAAGAGGGGAAAAACCCACCTTTGTGTTCTCCTGCAGATTTGCTTATGGTCACATTTGAGGGTTCATCAACTTTCAGCGTTTGAACTAAAGACTCTGGGGAGATTTGAGTTCCAGCAAAAACTCCAGAGGGGAAACTGAACGCCTACATGGAGAGAACACATGAAGCTCAATGAAGAACGATCTCATTTAGATCTTTAGGTCATCTGAGGAGAAATGACACTGGAATACAACATATGGCACTGACTTGTGAAATATTTAATAGCATACGACAAATGAATAATACACACGAGTGGCCATACCTTTGAATGATTACTTCTACTGCTGTCAGATGTGTTGAGTTTGGTCTCTTGTGAGTCTGTTTTTGTGAGTTGAATGGGCTGGATCTGTATCTTCTCCAGATTCCCCAGCGTGGGTCTGTTTTGGTGCTCATTTTCCAGCTTCACAGCGCCATGATGGAGCTTCTGCCGGACCCGTTTAATTTTCCCCACCATTCTGCCTAAGTCTACGTGTTTTAATTTATTTCACGTTTATACACAGCGCAAACGTTCAGAAAGAGTCCCGCGCGTGTTAAAGTTGACCATTTGTTTGGTGCTGTTACAGCTAATATTGTCCGAGTAAAGACGAAACGGAAGATGAGTTCCGTCAAAACTCCTCCTCAGGTCGTCTACACTTGAAAATGTTCAGGTATAGTTTTCCAACCATCTTTAAATCGTAAATTAACAACGCAAATTTGAACATAAAACACTTAACAAACGGCAATAGTAAAAAGAAATGTAACTTTAAATGGTACAAGATGAAATGTCCGTTCCCATGGTTAAGCTAAGGTTAGTGTAGCAAAACCGTGGTTAATTTGTGGTCACCATAGTTTAACTGTAGCTAGTAACCTTGTGGGCTTTATTTGTAGTAAAATCATGGTTAATTTTCGTAAGGGCTGCTCTGTGCCTGTTTTAAAATTTGGTGTAAAAACGTAATGCTGCATAAAAAGCCAGACTAAATTAAGCCAGCTCTGACCTACCTCAGCTCCTAATATCAAAGCATAGCTCTGTTTGCTGTGGAAATGCATTTATGCCATCTCTGAGCAGCATTAAACAGCCTTTGTAAAGACCTTAAATGCCATTTCAGTAGCAACTCTGTGCCACCTTTGCACTGTAATTTTGGTAGTAGATGAAATTTACGCTGCAAAGGTGGCACAGAAGCACTTCTGAAGCGGCATTTAAGTGTCTTTACACAGTTTAATGCTGGCCACAGGTGGCATAAATTCATTTACACAAAAATTACAGCCTGGGGTGGTCAGAGCAGGCATAATTTATTCTGTTTATCATGTGGCATCGAGTCTTTGCATTTAATTTTGAGCAGGCACAGAGCAGCCTTACCTCAGTGGTGTTTATCAGAGTTCTGAGATCATTTTTAGTCACCTCATTCTTACCAAGTTGTTTATTCTCATTTATAAACTGGTATAAACCAGAAACCTGTGTTGAAAACAGAAACTCCTTTCAAAATGATCTTTATTATTCTTTAATGAATATGGCAAAGAAATACATACGTACATATATACACAAGCAAAACAGGCGGTTTACAGATAGTTACTGAACAATATTACAAAAACCACAGGTGGCATAAATTCATTTACACAAAAATTACAGCCTGGGGTGGTCAGAGCAGGCATAATTTATTCTGTTTATCATGTGGCATCGAGTCTTTGCATTTAATTTTGAGCAGGCACAGAGCAGCCTTACCTCAGTGGTGTTTATCAGAGTTCTGAGATCATTTTTAGTCACCTCATTCTTACCAAGTTGTTTATTCTCATTTATAAACTGGTATAAACCGGAACCTGTGTTGAAAACAGAAACTCCTTTCAAAATGATCTTTATTATTCTTTAATGAATATGGCAAAGAAATACATACGTACATATATACACAAGCAAAACAGACGGTTTACAGATAGTTACTGAACAATATTACAAAAAACGTATATAGATCCAGCTCATTCACGGCTTAGAAATATAAAAATATAACACTATTAGTCCAGCAGCATACATTTGATTTAACAAATGACTTGACATGATTCAGAATAATCTACTTTAAGTTCTCTTATACATCTTAGGTGCATTTTAAGAGTATATGTATACGATGGTATACTGTATCCAGATACTGTAGGTGGAGGTGGGAACAGATTTTCACTGCCCTCCTTCTGTATCTCTGTGTAACTGAGTCTGGCCCCTGAGGTACTTCAGGGCCAAAGTAAGATTGTAATTGAGCCAATTATCTCTGTACTTTATTCCAAAGGAGCAGTTAACACACACACACACACCACTGTAAGTACTACTGAAATGTAGTGGTACAATAAAAAAAAAAAAAACTATTTCTATTGAAATAGTTCTAAACTAGATAAAGCAAGATGTAAAGACTTGTCATGCATGGTAAAAATTACATTGGGTGAATCTCATGTGAAATATCCAGGTCACACTGCAAAAAAGTCTAAACATTCTTAAATTAAGATACATTTATAAATCTTGTTTTTTGAAAAATGTCTGAAAATAGGTTTAGTTTTTGATTAAAATAATAAGAAAAAAAAATCTCTGCCAAATGGGCAAGAAATTAATTCAAAAGGAAACCAAAATTACTTTTCTGACGCCACTGGTATTTTTTTTCCTTCATTGTTATTTTTTCTTGTTTTAAGCAAAAACTCACTCAATTATGGTATATTTTTTTCAGAAAACATGACTTAGTATTATAAGCTATTTTGCATCTCATGTAAATGTATCGTAATCTAAGAACGTTTAGATGTTTGTCCAGGAAAACAAGACAAAAATTATATTTTGCAGTGTATACTTCATCCTAAAATTTAAAGGGGAAAAAAATCTATATTTTTGTCCTAAAAACAAACCAAAATAGGACTAATTCCTTATGCAAATATAATTTTCTATTTTCCTTTTACTTTTAAAGTTAAAACACAACCTGGACATGTATCGCATTGAAGTTATATTTAGATACAGCTCCTTACAATCACACAAACCTTAATAACAGTAAATAAAATGACTATAAAATTATTTGGCGTACAAATGAACTAAATCTATAACAACACAACTTTTTTTTTTTAATACATTTGGGAAGACTTGAAATTGTTGCATTTTTTTGTTTCTTTTGTGCACGTGTCAGTGTAAGACAACTTTAAATTAAGTCAGTTTACGTTAGTTATCCGGACATTAACAAATAGCGAGGAAGGAGTTATGCTGGTGCCATCCTTAGACAGGAGATGAATGTGACGATATCCTATGAGGAAGAACAAAACGTGCTTCGTATTAACAGGAGGATACATTTTTGATGCATTTGGTGGAACGGAGACATACCTGGCTGAATACAGGTGAAAGGGAGAGTGAACTGTCCCACAAAGTCATTCTTTGATGTTTTATCATAGTCCTCCACGACAAACCGTACCAGCGCTAATTCAGGGACGTGAATTGTGAACTGAAGCGTATCGTACCATACTGGGTTAAAACCTGCAAGGACAAATGGGTAGCTGACACAATTTCAAGCTATCATCAACAAATGAAAAAACTTTTCAAGGCAATTTTTCTAAATTATCGTACAAATATAATTTATCATCTCATATTAATTGAAATATTTGCACTTTTAAAAATGAATTAGTCACAGGACTAAGTCAACTGCTCAAAAGTGATTAAAATCGTGAAAACTTACAGTAATATAAATAATCTACATTCACTGTGAACGTTAGCGCACGTCCAAAAGCAATCGTTCGAAAACAAGATTTGTTTCAAGCTCGTTTAGTCTTTCGAACACAACTAGAACTCTGGTTTAACTGCATCTAGGCTTTTTCAGTCTAGACACAACTCAGTCCTATACGTTTTAACTGACCGTTGTTGTCAATATATCTGGTTTCCTGCTTGGCCTGGTCCAGTGGTACGCCGTGAATTTCCACCCGAACGAGGGGATCAATGATTGAGCCCTCCTTCATGTTTACCTTGGGAAGCTGTTGGCCGCTGATTACCTGAAAAGATCACACAAGATAAACTATGCAGGTTTAGCAATAACGCAATAAAAAAGTAATAACGCCAGGACATACACAGAAATTCAGGTTTGTACCTGAATAGACAGGCTAAGCGGCTTGTAACCGTCATTTTGGGGGTTTTCTGGGTCAAACCTCTCATCAATTTTGCGCATGAATGCTGGTTTCAGTATGTAGCCACAGTGTCCATTCTGACTGAATAAGCCATCGTTCTGATCCATCTCAACCCCTGCGGTCTGAAAGTTCAGAGCAACTGGGAAGGGAAGGGAACACTTAGCAATGAAAAAAATATTTACCACCATTTGTATTTAGTACTAAGAGATCCTGCCTAAAACATTGTCTATTGGAACATTTCCTATTTTCATGGATAAAGAATGGTAATTTAGGTGGTTACACTAGTGATATCTTGGCTAGTTAACTAGCAATGCTCATCAACTTTGAATAGTCTTGGTTGGGTTAAAGGGGTCATGAACTAAGAAATCAAAATTCCCTTGATCTTTTGACATATGAGAGGTCATTGTACTACTACATTGTGCCACTTTTTAAAGAATGACAAGCATGAGGCGGTCTATTAAATAGTTAGTCATAACCTCTGAATAATGATCAGACTGGAGAGTTTGTGATCGTGGGGTTCACGAACATCGGCCGGCGTGATACACCCTGAGCGACATAGATTCCTAATGAACAAGTAAATATAAAGTAAAGAGTTAACTAGAATAATCAAATGTCAGAAGAATACGGATTAGAAACAGACAAACAACCAATCTGCATTTCAACCTAAATTCGAGGTCATAATAAAATGGAGTCAGATTACAATTTAACCTAAATTTAATAACTTTGTGCGCTAAAAAGTCAGAACTCACAGGAAACCTTCATCCACCATTGGATACCTCCGTTGGGCCAATTCATGGACCTTACACCACCACGCCTATTCAAACGGAGCGTACAGATGAGGGGGTCAAAACAGGAGTAACTCGCTGATTAACCGATGCATTGTTGTGGAAACAAACTAGCTAGTCATGACTGTTTCCCGAACATGGTCGCATCTCCATCGTTTGAACCACATTAGTTCAACAACATAGGGCCATTGTTAATGACATCAAACGCATGTGGTGGAGGAATAACTTCTGCTATTTAACTGATTAGAGAGCTCTAAGATGCTGCTGTATTGAACATGGCCCCTGATGACTTACAAATTACAAATACTCACATTACAGCAATTAAGTCGTTTTTAAATCAGTAATTGTACTTTTTTTTTTTTTTTGAGTAGTTTAAAAATTGTGTACTTTTACTTGAGTACATTTTAAGTGATGTATCGGTACTTTTGCTCTGCTATTTTCCTCCGTTTGTGGTTGTTACATGCTTTTTTAAATTTTATTTTTATCCATCAACGTGATTGGATAGAGAGTAATAGGTCTCGTGACTTTCGTCAAATCAAATTGTGCATAGAAAACTTTAACCGCCAACTGTTTATCATGGCTGCTGGAAGTGCATTATTCAAGCATCAATTCTGTCGCATCTTCCTCTAACTTAATATGTTAAGGCAGGGCTGTCCAAACTCGGTCCTGGAGGGCCGGTGTCCTGCAGAGTTTAGCTCCAACCCTAATTAAACACACCTGAACCAGCTAATCAAGCTCTTACTAGGCATAGAAACTTCCAATCAGGTGTGTTGAGGCAAGTTGGAGCTAAACTCTGCAGGACACCAGCCCTCCAGGACCGAGTTTGGACAGCCCTGTGTTAAGGTAAATTTCA